TGTTCATGAACAACGAGCCGTTTTGACAGCCCTAGTTGCTAGGATACATAACTTTGTCTTCTAGAAAAAAATATACCAATGAAGAGGGCTCCTCCCATCATTGTCAGGAGCATCAAAGTCAGCACCATGTTTTGCAACAATGTGATTTAGAAAAGCTGTTTGGCCATATTGAGCTGCAACATGAACTGCCTGATGCAAAGGAGCATGTGGAGGGAAACACAGTTAAGACAGTTTTTTCTTACGTTTATCAGCAGATGTTGAACTTTAAAATCAGGTGCAAGTTCCGAGAGTAAAGAATGGTAAGGTAAAAGCAGTTCAGCAAGAATAGAATTCCAAACTGATTATCTATTCATAATATATTTATAGAAGTCAACAAGAAATTAAGAAAATCAGACGAAACCATAGTGGATTGGCAAACATAGCTCCATTTGCCATATTTTACTGTTATTTAACCCATATTACATGGAAAATATAATGCTACCAAAACAAAGGTAAAATTCCAGAGTTAAGTACAGTAATAGGAATCCAAATCTCAGAGGATGTATAAGAGGATAATCTCAAATCAGAGGATAAGTTAAAAGAGTTAATGCTGCACCAACTCCCATCAGCTTGATTAGTCAAACTAATAAGGTCTACAACTGACTAATATTCAAAAGCATGACATGGTTAAACAAGTCTTTCTTTCTTTTGTGTGTACATAGTGCAACTAAGACAAATAAAGAAAACAATAAATTCAAAATTTAGGGAATGGGAAAGGAAAAGCAAAAGGAAGTGTAGAATTCTAACATGATAAACCATATGTGGTAGCTTATAGAATTCAACAAGGAATAGAAAAAGTTGAGATTAAACTACAGTATTAGTAAGACATAGATCCGTTCACCAATTTCTTATCAGCACAGAGCAAATATAATAATGTAACGCAAAATGTTAGAGGCCACCAAAATAAAAAGATCTCAAATCAGAGGAAAAGTTAGCACATGTATTCATTCTTCTCATAGAACATCAATCTGTTAATAATCAGTTAAATATCAAACAACATTAAACATTATTTATTTCTTTACTCTGCCTCACCTGCCCGACAGCTTAGTTAGCCTAACAATGACGGCTGGTATCCAAGAAGATGGCATAGTTAAACATTCCTATATTTCTATTTTTTGTCTGTAGTACAACTGGAAACGAAGTCTGTTAAATGTTAAGTTCCAAGTGCAAAAAATTGAAAGGGAAAAGAAGAAAGGACTATAGAATTATAAACTCATAAACCATACATAATAGATTATGGCATTAAACTATAACTACAAAAAAATTGATGAGAAATCAATGGGTTAGTAAACATTGTTCCAGTCACCATTTTTTTTTTCGTGTTACAGATTAAAGAAATGGTAGCATAAACTAAAAGCAGATTTAAGCAATGTAATATAAACCAAATCTCGCAGGCTACCAAAAGAAAATAATATCACATACCACGTGCATTCTACTAACAAGCCTTTCATCCGTTAGTAATTATTAAGAAAAAACAAAACTCCACTCTGAAACAACAGGGTAGCTAGAATCAAAGAAGAAATAATAAACAAACAAAAATTACCCGGTAACCATTTACATCCGCAGCCTCTATCCAAACTCCACTCTGAAACAACACATCCGAAACCGCTATGGAACCCCGAACCGCCGCCCAGTGCAGAGCTGTCTGCTTTGTGTTATCCGCCGCGTTGACATCGCCGCCATGCTTCAGAAAAGCATAACCACACCCTAATCAAATACAGCCAAACAAAACCCTAATCGAGGGCCGTGAAGTGGAAAGTTACCTCAATTATATACTGCGCAATATCGGCGTAGTCGTTGAGCGCGGCCCACTGCAAGGCATAGTATCCGTTGCCATCGGGCTTGGAAAGAGAGTGACCGTCCCTCTCGACGAAGCCTCGTAGCTTCTGAAGATCGCCGTAAGCAGATGCAGAGTAGACATCAGCGATGATGGGTTCTGCGGGATTCGAAGAAGTTAGGTTTCCGTTTCGGTGATGCTTCGAGTTGGCGTCGGAGATTATCTCGATCTCCGAATCGGCAATCGCCATGAATGAAGACTAGAGGCTTTAGGAAGCTGGCTTTTCGCTTCGCGGGTGATATGTATGTGCGTGTGATTTTTACACGAGCAATTACAATCTTGAATTTATCATACATTTAAGGGAACATTGAACCTGAAATATTACTATTTTTAACTCAACCCCACAATCAAATGATTAAGAGTTTGATAAAAATGTAAAACATGAGTTGAGATTTTAGCATGAATTTTAATTTTTAAGTGAGAATTTACAAAATAGATGTAAGAGGGTGTCTAATTTGTAAATAGCAAGGTTTCAGGATCATCCCTGTATGTAATTGCCCCATTTAAGAAATATTTACATAATCACTTTCAACATTTTTGGAGCTAAGACATGCACATACTTTTAGTATGGAAAACTATAGGAATTAAGTGGTGTGCCCGTAAATCATCCCAATGAAAACCTCAAAGAAGTGTTTCAAATGCATGAAGCTGAAAATAGAGAAAATCAGTCCATAATTTATCATTTGGATCCACAAAATGAGCAGAATTAGCACCAAAACAGAATCAGGTTTCCAACCAATTTTAATTTAAGATATAAATCTCAGCTTTCTAATTGTCTTGCTCTTTCTCATTTAAGAACATTAGAGCTTTTCGTGCTTTGAATCATTGAGATCTTTCTCCTGTTCGGGCAATCTGATGTCATGTGCTCAAGATCGTGGTAAAAATACTTATTGGCTAGGAAATACTTGAGAGAAATAGAGGTCTCAGTTTTTCTCCACTCTGAAATAGTTTTTTTCTCGGATGTTGCCCGACTCATGTTGTTCGATCTGGTAGTTGGACTCTGCATGAATGGTGGTGTGGATCATATAATGTTACGTTGTCTTTCCACCTCAAGGCTAACCATTGACCATCTTGTAATGTCCAACAAGATTGTTAATGTACAATGTTGTCAATAAAATGGTTCTATCCCAATGATATCGGGCTATGGTCTTCTTCTCGAGCTCCACTAACTCACACCTAAACATGAGCTGCTCAAGCTCGGTCGTGTACTCTTCTTTTGATATGTCACTCTGCTCTAAGTGATGAAGTCACTAAAATATATCATATTTGTAATTTACTAAGAAATAATATATATATATTTAACACGTTTGATTAAAAACGAGCAAGTTGCCGCCGAGATCATTATAACGATCTAAACAGTGGCTCCCATCTCGATCAAAATTACTTAATTTCAATGCTGGTCCTCCATTTCGCAAGTCAAATCTATGGGTGATTTGACCGTTGACATTTTCCTAAGCCGCAGTTGCATGTTTTATAAGAAATCGCAAGCTTAAAGGTCTCTAATGGTTAAAATATGCTTTAAATTTTGCCCTCCTATTTGATTTATTATTATTTTTTAACTAATTCCCCCCGTAAATTTTGCACCTCGGATTAAGTTGTTGATATAAATTTATGTATTTCTATTGAATTTTACTAAGCCTTATCTCTCTTATTTTTAACGCTCTAATCTGTATTTCTATTGAATTTTACTAAGCCTTATCTCTCTCATTTTTAACGCTCTAATTTAAACGGTGTAATTCAAACGGTGTAATTCACGGACATATCAAGATCCAACATCTTTCGATAAAAATAGAAGACTAAGATTTTCAACCTAAATCTACATATATTTCTTTATTCTCATTTTGAACCCTACCTTCTACAACTTTTATTTAAATTTTCAAATTCAAATTGCATGTCAACTTTGGTTTAGTATATTCTCATGACAATGAGTGAGGGTGACTTGCAATTTTATCAATTACATTGTCGGCTGGTCCATTCTTGCAGCTTTGTTCATCACAAATCAGTCATTTACTTGGTCCAACTGGCCTAAATGTTCCTGGTTGAGATAATTGACTTTATTGTAAATTGCAGAGAAATATCTTGAGGTGGAAGAGAAGACTAACAAAAGTCAACCTCCAAAACTTAAGACAAAATATATTAATTTATTTGCATATTTATATCATCATATGGAAGATAAGTTTGAAGCAGCGGAGCTAATACAGTTTAAATAACCAAAAAAATAAAAATAAAAATAAAGAGTTTGTAATATAAAACAAACTAGAAGGTTATGAGCAAAATGGAGCAAGGAGAGTACTTCAAGCTTTTCACTATTCTCTTGGCCTGTTCACAAAAGAATAAAGAAAGATTTACATATATACCACTATATTCTTATATAGTTACAAATTTAACTACTAAACTTTAATTTAGATGTAATATGAGAGATTTGGAAGGTATAAATGTAAAAAAGTAAAGTTAAATATGATAAATTTTAGTTGTTAGATATGTAAATACATTAGAATTTGGAGGTTGTATACGCCCAAAGAAAAAAATATACGTTAAATTAGTAAATTAATGGCATTATTTTATCGAGTAGAGTGTCTAAATAGCCTATGTTTATTTATATGGGGTCTCTTTGGTTCCAGAGTGTATGAAAGTGTTATTATAGTCCCCAGACTCTTTAAATTGGGGTTTAAATAGTCACCATAGAAGATTATTAGCGTTGAATTTTAAAATAATTGAGGATTATTTTGACACTTTTATAAACTCCAGTATTGAAACGACACCATATAAATAACTAGAGACTATTTTCGGACTTTATTCTTATTTTATCACAATTCTAACTATTAAATGTATTTAAAAAAACAAAATTATGATCCATCCAATTAAAATTAAAAAAAAAACAAATATATACTTATTTATTTACGTATTGATGAGATGTGATGCACTCCATAGATACAATTGATGCTCATCTTTTATTTTTATATATTTTTCCTCTCAAAAAATGATAAATGATTAACTAACTAGCTGTTTTATGGAAGTTAATTAACCATATAAAGATGGATACATGTCTATATTAAATTAATTGAACTTTGACCATATCAATGCTCAAATATGTCCATCATGCAAATTGATAGAGAGGGACAATATGTCAATTTCTGATAGTTCAAGCCATTTTCACATATTATTTAGCTTCCAAATAAAAGCATTCTATAGATTCTCATATGATATATTATTATGTATTCTATATGTTCTCATATGATATATTATTTTGTATTAAATACATAATATACAAGAAAAATATAAAGTCAATATTAAAAATTTTAAAATGCTCAAAGATTATACAAACATATAGTTCAACTTGTTTTTTTTATGTTCATAAATAAATTTATTTGTTATTTAACAAATAACTTATTATATAAATTACAGTATAATTTACAGTTATATGATATATTATTTAAATAAAATTTAATTAATTAAAATTTCTTTCATTTTTGTAAATGTGTGTATATCTAATTAAATTATTTTCTATTTGATTACTTTAATAAAGTAGTTTATTAATCCTTGTTTATATTAATTGATTGCAAAAAATCTACTTTTAACTTATATATTATCTTATTTATTTAATATAAAATAATTGAGCATTAACTAAATTTTTATTCGATTGCATATTTGTTTGGGTTTATGAAATTATTTATTAATAAATTTATATAGAAGATAAATATTAATTCAAAATTTTAATTTGCTAGTTGAAGTATTTGTTCTCTTAAAATAAACAAGTACAAAATAAGTATAATTACTAAAATATTTAAATAAATTGAGCATGAGCATTCATGTAAGAGCTCAACTTGAGTTGGAGAGCATCTTGTTGTATGACTAAGTTAAGAGCAATCCATGACATACTCAGTCATCATAACCCTAGTGACAAAAAATAAGATAATAACAAAAAACGACATTTAGATGCATTCCACCAATTGTCACTTGTATTCGGGCCTCAATCGAGCTTAGTATGTCTTAGATTGAACTTGGCATGGTTATATTTACATTGATTATTTTAAAAAAAAAATTATATTTAGCTTGTAATTGATTTGTTTATATTAATTGAACGAGTATTTTAACAAATTAATAAACAGGCAAAGTAATCATATGATTGCCTGATTTTTCATAAAATGTATTAATAAATAGATTTGAAAATCTAAAAAAAATAATTAAATAAATTGAATTATTTTGTTGAAAGCCGATAAATTTTGTGGAACGATATATATTAATGTTTTAGTGTTAGATGATGATCTGATACACACACAAGTAAAAGAAAAAAAACTTACAAAAAAGATAACATAGGTTCTTACATGAAATACCTAAAAGACAAGAAACCATGGGTCTAGCCAAATTGAAATGATTTCACTATAAGCATATAATTTAATAAGATTTTTGTTTAAACTTGAAAGCTAAGGCCAATATTGCACAAGCAGGGTTCACCGACTGACTTGAATTTCACTAGTGAGGTAGCGAAACATGTTGGAGACATTTCAATGGCCCGACTATTGTGATGAAAGACCGGTGATAGAGGTTGTATGATAGAAATCTGATGGCAGCATCATTTGCTACAGTGGCTGGTGACAATGGTTCGTATCAGTGGCAACATCCAATTTGTGGTAGTTCGATGTCGGCGGTGGCTTGATTAAGGTGGCAGTGATTGTGACAGCGGTGGTTTGACAGTGGTAGCGGCGACGACGGTTAGACGGTAATGGTCTAACTATGACGGTGGTGGTCAGACGACTGTGGTTCGACAACGATGGTAGAGGCAGTCCGGTGGCGGTGACAGTCCGAGATTGGGTGGAGGTGACAATGGAAGCAATGCGGCAAAGGAGGCTAAGCATCGATGGTCTGATAGTTGCAACAATAGTCGTCATGCCATGAAGGAATGGCAACATCCGTGGTGGCTTGGCATCTGACTGGTGGCAAGGGTAGCTTGACGACGGTGGTTTGGCACTATGTTGATGGTCTGATAATAACAAACTGATGGTGGTAGTTGTAGCTCGGCATTGATTGAACGTCAGTGTTTTAACATGACGTCGATGGTTCAGAGATGGCAGCGATTGCAGCCTAGCGATGGTGGGCAGACAACGTTAAAGGATGATGGGTTAAAGTAGGAACAACTGAGTGAAAAATTGTGGACAGACAGTGACGGTCCGACTATAATGATGGCAGCTATTGGGCAACGGTGGTCTGATAGTAATGATGACAGCTATCAGGTAACCTTGGTTTGATAGTAATATTGACAACCATTAGCTAGCGGTTACCCAGTGATGACCACCACAAAGAGGTGGTTGGGTGGCAGCAACTTAACGACCGTAATGATGGCTCAACGTTCGTTGAATATCAATGGTTCGACACGACTTTGGTGGCCAAAGTCAGTGGTTTGACAATGTTGACGATATTGGTTGGATTGCAAGGGCCTACGACAGCAATGATCAAGCAGTTGTGGTCCGATGACGACGTCGTTGAGTAGGGTGGTTTGGTGGCGGCAGTGACTCGAAGACAATGGTCTGGCAGCAGTAGAGCTAAAAAATACTCAATAGCATGAAGCTATATTTGAACTTCTTCTTCAGGTCTATACTTTAAGTGCTTGATGTAGGCTCACTCAGACTTGAACTAAACGGTGTTTGATGTCATATGATCCTTCCTACTGAGACACTTCAATTGAATTGGAATATTGATAATTAAATATTTGAAGCTCTCGGTCCTAATGTGCATCATGATTTATGCTTGATTAAGATAACTTTTTTGGGAACAATCAAGTTTCTAAATAGTTTACAGCAATTAAATAGAATAATATTAAATTGCAAGTTAGTTTTGTTGCAACAAAATAATAAAAATATGTTTTAACAAATTATTTCATTGAAATAATGAAATAAAAATGAATTGTATAAATTATAATATGTTGTTATGAAATATACAATTAAACAAGCCTAAATTATCAAATTTTTTTAAAATAATATATTTAGAAGCAATCATCAAATTTAATATGAGGCCTATAGTATGTTGTTCAACAATAAAAGAGTTTGATCTTGAGCATAATTAAATGAGTTGAAGCATATTAAATTTTGGATTATTTAACCTTGGAAATTTTAAAAATGCTAAAATTTTTTTATTTACTAATACGAACAAGCTTAATTAAGTATTAGTAAAGCTAAGTTCATTGAGTAAATTTATTCATTTACAACTCTTTTAACATCTAAAATTCATATTATTATGTGTATATGTTGAATTCTTTTGAGACATAGGGTTTTGTATTGTTCATGAGTGCATACAACCCGATAAAGATTTTGTATCCACAAAGAGATATAGAGAAATGTGAGTTCTGAGAGGGAATCCGATGGACTATATTGAGTTATTATTTCCATTGAGCCCTAAGAGTATGATACTTTTGTGGTTTCCTAAATTATCCGATGGACTATATTGAGTTATTATTTCCATTGAGTCCTAAGAGTATGATACTTTTGTGATTTCCTAAATTATAATATTTTAAATAGGAGAGAGAGGAGAGAGGGAGAGAGAGGAGAGAGGGAGAGAGGAGAGGGATAAATTTCTCTTTGAAAATGACCTCGTTTTAAATAGGAGAGAGAGGAGAGAGGGAGAGAGAAAGAGGAGGAAATTTCTCTTGGAAAATGAACTTCTTGAATCTTCTTTTCTCTTCCCTTTTTATATACAAGGGAGAAATACAATAAAACAATAAATGAAACATAGTTCACATTGTACAGTGTCTTTCCCCAGTGTTTTGATGAAAGACAACGATAAGGGTAGTGCTTATACAACGCTCATCTCTGTTGTCCGGGTGAAAGGACTGAGCACTAAATGTTGAGCGACACTTTTATTGATAATTAGATAGTTATCCTTATTAATTATGATGTCCTTCTCCGATAGATGACAACACACAAGTGGATCAGGTTATTTTTTTCGAGAATAATGAATACAACCTCTTCAGTAGGTGGGCTCGATTCAGCCACTTCGACACGCCAAAAAAATAAGTAAATTCTTTTTGTATAAAATTATTTGTGCATACAATATCACTCCAAGATTACACAAAAAAAATAACTATTATTTGACTTTTTCATTCATAATTTTATGCACACTTTTTTCGCTATTGATGTACTTATATAAATGAGTTTTGGTCAGCAATTAAAATTATATATATATATATATATATAAGAAATCCACTCCAGCTTAAGATATATTCATTTATATTTTAGGTGAGCCACAAATCAAGGACGCTAGAAGATCTATACATTTCGCTATATAACCCCAAGAAAATAGTGACCTAACCCGTCATGTTCTTTTTGTGCTCATTTGAATGGCCGAATAACCTGACTTATCTAAAGTTTTGCTCATTTCGCCAATTGCAGTACTGGAATTCATCATAAGCAGCTTGGGATAAATAGTATTATGAATCTTGCACATTTGTCCGTACAAATGATGTTGCCAAGAAAAAAAAGTTATAAATGTCCGAATCCAACGAGACAAATCAATTATTAGGTTCCGAGTGCTCATAACGCTTTAGCCATTCATCTCTCAATCAGGAAAGGTGGACAGCCAGCGGGAGGAGCTTTTATTTCTTGAGGATACTTGACTTAAATTTGCGTCCGGTGTTTAATCTTGACCAATTCCTATGACAAGTTCTAAGGATAAAAATTTTCTAATCGCTAGATGAGCACCTTAGGCAAATTTTTTACTTGAAGAGAACTATCAATAGCTTAGGACTGATGATTGAATAAGATCTACTCTAAAAAATGAAGATTTGCATACAAACCACTCTTCTTCTTCTTTCTTGTAACTATATATTTTATCTATATATTTCAATTTTTTCATTTACAACATCTTATTTGTATATGAAAAAGTGTATTCCATTTTTTAAAAGTTAAAATGAGGATGTGTGAGGTATAAATGTAAAAAGAAAAGCATAGATGTTTTCTATGTAAATACATAGGAATTGGGAGCTATGTATGTAAATGCTCCCTTTTCTTCAAAAACAATATTAAATGGCGTGCTTCCATGTGATATATAATTAGAAGTCAGTTTGATTTGCACGTTAATTTTTAATTTTTTTCTTTTCGAAACACATTTAATTGTTTTGCACGTCATTGTACCTTTGCTGCCATCATTTATTTACAGGGGCATTCTTATGTTTGTACATATCTTCCTTATTGTATGCACAAATATTCATATACAACAATAACAATATATGTAAAATTATAGTTAATTTTTACATGATTGAGTCGAGTTCACATATCAAAGTGGCAGAATCGAGTCCACCTGTCAGAGTCTTTGAATTAAGTCATTTTTGCAGAAGTGACTGAATCGAACTCACATGTTGAATGATTGAATTGAGCTCACACGTCAAAGCGACTGATCCAACTCTTTTCGTTGTTCCTCAAAAAAGGCAATTCAAATCTATCTCTACAAATGCAACAATTCGATAAAGTCATCATGACCAATTCGAGAAAGTCATCAAATGGCCTTATACATAGATAATGCACGAAAGAGAAAATAAAAATATAATAATTAATTCCATTTTAAATATAGATTTAGTTTTAATTTTCTTATTTGTCTTTTTATTGATTATATTTTCCATAACTCCTATAATCCTTTATTTGCAATTTTTATTTTCAAATAGGTAGCAGCAAAAACAAATACTTTTTAACTTAAAATATTAATTCCATATTCAAGTTATTTAATTTCATATGTTATTTTTTCTCATTTATGTTTTAATTCATTATGATTATGTATTAAAATAAATAGTTTTAAAATTTAAATTGAGATTCAAACTTATAATTTAAAAAATGAAACTGGTTGTTGACCACTTATTCACATAAATAATCTCAACAAAATATTCTACATTTCAAGTCATTTAAATTTAATTTTCTCTCATATATATTTAATTTTATTATTATTATTATTATAGACTAAAATAAATATAATTAAAATTCAGATTGAACTTTTTGGATATACATAGAATTTTTTAATATTAATTTTACAATTTCAACATGTTATAACTAGTTTTTAATTACGTGCACTTGGTGCGAACCGGTGGTGTCCAAATGTCTCTCTCTCCTGCGCGAGCTGATTTGAACTCCACCACCTCAGTTCTTCCTCCTCCATTATATCCGGCCATCCATTGCCGGCGAGTCCCCTCGTGAAAATACACTCTTTTTATTTTTTAATTCTCCGTCATGTAATCTCATAAATCCCAGCTCTCTCCTTCTCAGCGGTTTGGACTCTCGTTGCCTCATTAAAACCAACCTCTCCCCAATCTCTCCCTCTCTCTCTCTCTCTGTCTCGCCCGCTGAAAGTGAAGAATGAAGACTGATTCATTTTTCACCCTGCAAATCAATTAACTTGGCCTCCTGCAATGTGGGAGACCCGTCCACCACGGCGGCGCTGAGTTGGACCACTGCTGAGCACCGCCATGTCTCTCCTCGTCATTCTTCTAGCTCTTACTGCCTTCCCCTCCTTCACCACAAGCCAAGCTATCTCCTCCACCGATCTCACCGCGCTCTTCAGTCTCCGCGCCTCTCTCTCCCTCCGCGCACGCGACTGGCCACGTGGTGCCGACCCTTGCTCAAGGTGGACAGGCGTCGGCTGCGATGCCGCGGGTCGTGTCATCTTCCTCAACCTCCACGGTCTCCGTCGAACCCGGCTTGGTCGCCTGAGCCCAAGATTTGCCGTCGAGGGGCTTAAAAATCTCACCTTTCTCACCTCCTTCAACGCCACCGGTTTTGCGCTCCCCGGCCCAATTCCGGTCTGGTTCGGTCTATTGAACCCCAAACTGGCCGTCGTTGACCTCAGCCACGCGTCTATCTCCGGTGAAATACCCTCATCTCTCGGAAACCTCTCTCTATTAGTTTCGCTGGATTTGAGTTCTAATTTACTGACCGGATCTTTGCCTGATAACTTGAAGAACTTGGAAAACCTGAAAAATCTCAACTTTGGGAGCAATTTGCTAACTGGCTCTCTAGAGGGCGAACTTTTCTCTAGCCTTTCGAAGCTGGAATCAATTACATTGACCCGGAACAACTTCTCCGGTTTGATTCCTGGTTCTGTTTTCTCTTTGCCCGAGCTGAAGTTTCTTGATGTCTCCTACAATGATTTCACGGGGAATCTGCCAGATCTCTCTTTGGCAAATTTTAGTCACAATGGAATTGCATTTGATCTGTCGCATAATCTTTTGTATGGTTCAATCTCTTCTGAGTTTTCAATCCTGTCATCAAGATTCAATTTTGTGGATGTATCAAATAATTACTTTGAAGGTTCTGTGCCCCTTGATAAAAATAGTAAAAAATTCTCTTTTGCTTCGAATTGCTTTCTGAACGATTCAAGCCAGAGAAGCACAGCTGAGTGTGAGCAGTTCTATAAGGCCAAAGGGCTCACTTTTTCTGGAACAGTGAATTCCAGTGCAGCTCCTGCTCCAAGTCCCAGCTTTAATTCACCTAAGAGCAATAAAACATGGAAATATATTCTGATACCAGTTGTGTGCGGAGCTGTTCTCCTAATATTCATTGCGGCTTTAATTCTGCTGTTTGTAATGAAATGTAGAGTTCACTCAGCTCGGCAGGAGATGAATGCGGCGACTGTTGTCGCTACTTCTCCTCCTGCCGGAGCTCCACCTCAGCCTTCTACAGGAGAGAACTTCACGTACGATCAATTGGCCCTCGCAACCTCCGGTTTCGGCGAAGAGAACCTAATTAAGCAAGGCCATTCAGGCGATCTCTACCATGGAGTTTTGGAAGATGGGAGTCTAGTGGTTGTGAAAAGGATCGACTTGAACAGTGCGAGGGAGGAAGATTACTTGGTTGAATTGGATTTGTTTGGCCGAACTTCGCACGACAGATTGATTACTCTTTTGGGGCACAGTCTGCAGAAAGAGGATGAGAAGTTCCTTGTTTATAAACAAATGCCTAATCGAGACTTGGCTTCCGCGCTTTACAAAAAGGCTGCGCTGGAAGAAGAATGGTTGCAATCATTGGATTGGATAACGAGACTGAAGATTGCGATTGGTGTGGCTGAAGCGCTCTGTCATCTGCATTATGACTTCACGCCGCCGTTGGTTCATAGGTAAATTTTGATTTTTGTAACAATTTTAAGTTGAAAATTTTGCTGTTTCTTTTCTGTCCTTGAATCCTACCACATGTTAATGATGGCTGTTTCTGCAAATTTTATGTTTTTTAAGGTTAAATGATTATAGTTTAGCATTCTTTCTTCAATATTAGGCGCACTTTTCTTTCAAAATTGCAGCTTTCAATGTGTTCTTCATTATTTGGAACTTAAATATTCATGATATTCTAATACTCCCAAAACGGATTATTTGGCAGCCATTTTTCATAAAATTTTTGTTAAAGTGAGAAATCCATCTAGCAATTTACTAACCCTTTTTATTATTTGGAATGCAGAGATATCCAAGCAAGTAGTATCCTTCTTGATGATAAGTTTGATGTGCGGCTGGGAAGCTTGGGCAGTGTATGTGCTCAGGAAGGAGAAGGCCATCCAAATGTCATATCAAGATTCTTTCGGCTTTCACAGTAAGTTGTCATTCCAACCAAACTTTTCTTATGTATTTTAAATATCTAACAACTAAACTTTCATATTTGCATTTGAAGAACTCAACTCTTTAATTTCACCCAAAAAAAAAAAAAAATCCCTCTTACTTAGTTTTTTATAAGTGAAATAAGCCTTTTGCATTCATAGGTTTATGACTATAAATAAATGTAAATATAAAAGTTTGTGTTGGATATGTAAATACATAAAAAATTTGTGCTATGCATGCAAATTTCTCCTTCTCCTTTCAATTTCTCATTTTCCCATGTTAGCTCACATTTCTTATGTATTTAAGCATCTCCAGCCTAAACTTTACCCACACAAAAAATAGCATTTTCATCACTTTTTAAAAGTGAAATACATATTTTCATGCATAGATTAAAACATCAAATTGCTATATAAATATGAAAGTTTACATGGGAGATATACAAAGACATAATCTTTGCGTGCTAAGTATGTAAATTTCCCTTATTCTTATTGTTCTCCTCCTCATCTTTCTATTCTGTTTTGTGAATTCTAGCATTTTGCAGATCTAACCTTATATTTTTTTCCTGAAAATAATGTTTCAATTACCTTTCACAGTATTGATGTTTAACTTACTGAACAACAATTCTATCTTCTACATGACTTACAGGACTTTATCAGAGCAAATTGCTCCTGGTGCTCCATCAGCCTCATGCGCTTACGATGTCTACTGCTTTGGCAAAGTTCTGCTTGAGCTGGTCACAGGCAAGCTGGGCATCAGCGCCTCTACTGGCGTTTCAACCAATGAATGGCTCGAAAACACTATACAGTACATCGACATGAACGAGAAAGAGCTCATCACAAAAATAATAGATCCCTCACTCATAATCAACGAAGACCTGTTGGAGGAGGCTTGGGCTATGTCGATCGTAGCGAGATCTTGTCTGAATCCGAAGCCTTCGAAGCGGCCGGCCATGAAATATATTCGCAGAGCGCTCGAGAATCCGTTGACTGTGGTTAGAGAGGACAGCAATTCGGATTCATTAGGGTTACGGAGTTCTTCGTCGGGGGGTTTATGGAATGGGGCTTTGTTTGGGAGTTGGAGGCGGACTTCGAGAGAGATTCCGTCGGGATCGGGGACGGGGAGGCATGGGAGGAGTTTGAGACAGTCGGGTCCGTTGAGATCGCCGGCAAGCGGCGGCGAATTTTCGTCTTCTCGTCGGAGACAGGCGCCGCCGAGGGAGATTTTCCCCGAGCCAGATGACGTGGAGGAAGATTAGGGTCGAATTGTTTTTTATTCCAAAAATTTACATAAACAGGACTCAATTTTTATGTATTTACATATCTAACACCTTCAATTTAATTTGTACATACATACCCCCTAACCTACGAATGAAAAAGGTGCATTTCAATTCTTTTTAGTTGAAATCGTGGTATTTTTTCGTGATACGAAAAATTTGGGTGGTAGAAATGTAAATCGGAGAGTTTAAGTTTTACATATGCAACTACATAGACATTTGACTGGTATATATGTAAATGTCACTTTTTACTGTTTTTTTAATGAAAATTCCTTGCAGGCGCCCTATTTGTGTGCTGATTTTAATCAGTGTGGGCTTGTCCTATTGATTGGTGCCATCTCTAATCATAGAGGGTTTATTTGCTACCTATGCCCCTAAATTATTTTATGCCACTTAATAAACATCTTTTTTTTTTTTAAATTAAAATTTTAAAGTGGGCCCCATTTTCATACAACTTTTAAGGGAGATGTTGCATTTTATTGATTGACTGAAATTATTTTATGCCACTTAATAAACATCTTTTTTTAAAAAAATTAAAATTTTAAAGTGGGCCCCATTTTCATTTAAGTGAGAGGCTGCATTTTATTGATTGACTACAGACAACGCTGTGTGAGGTTACCGTATGAAATAATTTTTTCTAACCATAAATATTTGAGAAATTTTTGTATCATCATTCAATTTATGTATATTTCATTCCAAGTTTAATATTTCATACTTGCAACTTCTCAATGTCAAAAGATGACGATGATGATGATATAGTTGATAAGATGTTAAAGATTTGAATGTTATGTATGCAAATCTGAATGTGATATTATAAATGAATGTTATGTATGCAAATCTGAATGTGATATTATAGATTATAAATACATAGGAATTGTGTAATGTGTGGTATGTATGTAAATTACCTAAATACATAGGAATTGTGTGGTATGTATGTAAATTACGTTATAATTTTATGTTTTAGGCTTGACATATTTGGTGTATCATGAAGAAAAAGAGAAAGGAAATACGTTGTGCAGAACTTAGTTGTATATGTTTGCCTGAAAATTATTTAAGATTAGTTTGAGAATGTTGTACAATTCTGTAAATTATGTATTTGAGTTCGTCAACAATTTCATACATCCAATAAAAAGATATAAAGAGAAGGGAACACAAACATAAGAATGGTTTTGCTCATTCTTTCCCTTCATCCCAATGTCTCCAAATGGTAGTTATTTATAGATGCAATGTATCATTAATTCATTGATAATTTGCTTCTAATTTAGACTTGAGTGTGTAGCATATTGGTTGATAACAAAATAAAAAATCCCATTGTGTTGGGTTTGAATGTTGACTTGTTCGAAAAGAAAAAAAAAATGAATTAATTAATAATTTTTATTAATCTAATATAATAAATACTCAATTTTATATTCTCATCATCCAAGCAAAGTGATTTTTAGACATAAGGATTTATCGCTACAAGGGTTTAATAAATATAAAAACATAAAACCAACAACAAAACAAATGGCAATCTGACTATCAAAATAATGCAAAACACAAAAGATCAAACAAAGAAGCTTTCCTTCAAAGTTTAATTCATCTCATATTAAGCAAAGAAAGAGTAAACCCTTCAAAGATTTGTCCATTTGGGGCAGTCTACAAAATCAAAACCATGTATAAAAAATCGAGAAAAATATGAATATTTTGTTAATTATTTTGTGTAATACATACATTTTTGTCTTTTGAAAAAGTCTGACAACTACCATTATTTTTAGCTAATATATATTCATAAAAAAAAAAACTACATATTGCAACAAAAATGCCACAGTATATAAGTGCATCTTCCTAGTAAGTTTCCAAAATGAGGCCTTGATTCATAACAACCAACGATTCTCTGCAGCAAAGAGCATCTCTCCACCATTGACGGCTACAGGGCTCATCATCACCCGCCCTTTCGATAATTTATTGTTTTACGCCTATAACAACTTTTCTCTAAAATAATACCTACTCTATATACGAAATCATTGTTTATTCAAGACATCACAATTTAGAATTATCTCTATGACTTTTCTTTTTGTTGTTTTACGACATTTCCCTTTCCATACTAACTGAATTTAACATAGGTATTTTACATAATAGCTCAAAACTCCCAGGAAAGATTCCAACTCCTAAGATCTTAATGAGGCCCTCGCCTTGCTCAAAATAGAGGAATATATCATACCTCCCTCTCTCAAGTTTCTCATCTCCAACATCAAATTGGTGATAACCATCTCCCTTTCATTTGATAATTACATCATCAAGGCAAATGGATTCATCGGGATCATCAACAGAACCATCCTAAAACTTGTTGCAAATGCTACCAACACATTAAGTACCAATCTCATGCTCACACTTGGATCCTAAAAGATCAAAACCTCATCATCACTATACTTTTGACCTTTTTCAGTACCTTCCTATCCTATGTGCTCAATCTCTAGAGCTGTCATGAAATCTGGGAGCAAATGGAGAAGTACCTTCAACATATGAATAGATATCGAGTAATTCAGGTTAAAAATGAATTACACAACGAATCTATGAGAAATCAAACCTTGACGCAATACCTAACACAAATCAAAGTGCTGGTAGACAACAATTTTGCATACAGATCTTCAGTCGATGCTAAAGAAATTATTTTCTACACACTCAAGGAGGTTCCTCCAGCATATCAGGCCTTTAAAATCGTCATTCGAACCACCTAACCCCACTCAATTTAGAAGACATGAACTCACTGCTTCATAGTAAAGAGATAAACATCTCCAATTACAACTCAGTCAATCTTCAGCTACCGAACAATCACTAAGCCCTATGCACACAATGAGGATGAGGTTGCAGCAATTTTCATGGATGAGGCAGGCAAAACACCTCTTGGCGCTTGTAAGATACATCACAAAAATCGCACAAAACAACAACTCGACCAAATGCCAAATTTGCAACAAACATGTCCATGTCACACCACAATGCGGGCATCGCCTAAATCTCAAGTACCAACCCAAAGTCCCCAATCGTATAATGCTAATTGTGGCCACCTCCTCTGATCAGGTCTAGTGCTTGGACTCCGACGCATGTGTGTGCTTTCCCTAGATACCTCCACAACTCTACAACAAAATTGATTCAAAATCCACCCAATGTATGTTCCTAGGATATCCTAACCACTCCAAAAGATAAAAATGTCCACACCCCAAAAGTGAACGGTGATTCATCTCTCCCCATGTTCGTTTCCATGAAACATCATTTCCATATAAACAACTCAACCTCCAACAATTACATCTCCAACCACTCTCAATTTACTCACCACTTTTCACACTCCCTACTTCATTTTCACTAACCCCAACTCAATCACAACCTCGATCAACCCCTTATTCCACTCATGCATCATATGATATCCCTACTACATCCAGTCCAAACCAACACTCTGCAACCCAACTTGAACAATCCCAACACTCCTCACTGGTTGCCCCATCACCACCACATGCATCCTATCCTATGGTAACTTGAGCTAAACCAAGCTCCCTCTAACCGAAATGTATTTTTAATCTTAAAGAAACTACCAACATTCCTTTTGGAGAACAGCAATGCACGAGGAACTAGCTGCACTCAAAAAGCACATGGACTCTCCTCCCTCTTCCACCCAATCAACCTATTCTCGACAGCCAGTAGACATAAAAAATCAAACACAATGCCGACAGAACCATCACCAATACAAAGTATGACTTATTGATTTTGGTTTCCAACAACAATATGACATCTGTTACACTGAGACATTTAGTTTAGTCGCCAATCTCCCCACACTCGTCTCTTCTTTATCATCTCCCTCCACCACCAGTTTTACAAATAGGCATCGCCAATGCATTTTTCCATGGCGAACTCAACAAAGCCATATACATGTGCCAACCACCCGGACAGCTCGACCCCCACGAACTCATCACATTTGTCTTCTCAAGAAGGACCTTGCCAATGGATCGACACATTTACCAGCCACGTCTTACATTTCAAACTCCAACGCAGCTAGTGGATCCACCCTTATTTCTCTACCACCACCAATCTACCTCAATCTACCTATTATTGTATGTCAACAACATCTTATTCGCCTATAACAACACCACCAAAATTCACAACTTCATGGATGACTTGCAACAACAATTTCACATGAAGTCCCTCGACAACGTCTCTACCTTCTTAGGTATCCACATTTCTTTCTCTCCCAAGCTCTCTAAACCTCTGACTTACTCATCACCGTAGGTATGGCTGATCGTAAGCCAAGACCCAATCTTATCTCTACTTTATCGCATACCTCTCTCAAGCTTCAACAACCATTTGTAAACTCGCACTTCTTTCGCCAACTAGTTAGCTCTATTCAATATCTCAGGATCACATGACTTGATATTTTTATGCAGTGAACAAACTATCGCAACTCTTTCATGCCCCCAACAGCCACCACTTTCAACAACGCAAAAGACTTCTATGATACATCAAATGTACGTTGAATTTTAGCATGTTCCTCCAACCAGATCCATCTTCTTCTTCGAAGCTATTCTGACTCCAGTTGGGCAAGTAATCCAACTGATTGACGGTAGGTTACTGGTCATTGCTCCTTCCTCGACAAAAATCTCATCTCACAATAGGCAAAGGAAGCACCCATTGTGGCCCATCCATCAATCGAAGCTGAATATCATCCTCTCTCAATAGTAGCTAATGAAGTTATTTTGCCGACTTCTACGAGAATTTCATGTCTTCGTCTTTGTCAACTATCACACTCTGAAACAATACCTCTATGCTTGCTCTTACTCGTAATACAGTATTTCACGCTCGCACCAAATATATTGTGATGGACTGACACTTCATCAGGGAGAAGATCTAGTCTCGAGAACTCGACTTCGCCTGCATCCCCACCACCAAACGACCGGCTGACATCTTCATCAAGTCTCTCCCTACGCCCGATTCAACATGCTTCTAGACAAACTAACTCTCCGAGTAGGGGACAATTCGTTTTTCGGGGGGATCATAACAACCAGCAATTCTTAGCAGCAAAGAGTAGCTGAGAATTATCTCTATGGCTTTTCCTCTTACCTATGACATCTACAACTCTCGCCAAAACAACTTTTCCCAATAATACTCCGTAGGCAATATATACGTAAAGTTTATAAAAGACATAGCAATTCAGAATTATCTCAATGGCTTTTCCTCTTATTGTTTTACGCCATTTCCCTTTCCCAGCTACCTGAATTTAAACGTCGTTGACAAAGGGTCTGTTTGGG